TCAGCATGCTGGCTAGGGAATTCTGGGAGTTGAAGTCCACACATCTTAGAGTTGTCAAGTTTGAAAAACACTGTTCTACATCAGTTGGGACTGCAGTGTTCAAAGTACTCCAGGCAGCTAGCTGAGAATTCTGAGAATGGCAGTGTCAAAACATCTGGATGACGCCAGGTAGGCTGGTTTATGGAGGAGTTTCAACAAGCTTTGAGGAGTTTCAGCAAGGCATCTGTCTTCTTCTAGAAGTGCTTTTCCACAGGGGCCCTTGCTGTAAAGTGAGGTTTTCAACTTTTCCCCCCCAAATATTCTTTTTGTACTTTCCATGAAGAACCCTAGTGTGCTTGTCATATATGTTCTGTCCACTTTGAGGATAAACTGCAATGTTCACGCTGAAATTACACTGATATTGGGACAAACTAATTAGGACTTATCTCAGTCCTCCAGGAACTGAAAAATACACTGAAGGCCCCACGACATACCTCCATGATATTTCCTGCATTCTGGGTTGGAAGGATTAGCCAGCAAAAAAATTAAATTCGCTGTTACCACTTGGAGGTTCCTTGAAACATGGGGGTTTCTTCCTGAGGACGAGGATATTTACTGTGAATGTGGAGCTATTCAAACGACTGTCCATCTTTTACAGTGCCCTTTGGGACCAACATGCACACAGAATGACTTGCTGGTCGGAAATACCTTTGCCATTAACGTGGCCTGGCTTTGGGCAAGAATTATATAAATCTATATTTTTATTAAAGTGTTTTAATTTTTTTAATTTAGATTAATAATTATCTCCTTTCTAGCTCCTGCATTTCTGAGACGAGACGAGACCTCCATGATTTTGTTAGGGAGCATCACTGATTAGTACCACACTGATAACTGTTATCTTATTTTGATTCCTGCTCATTCCTAACATTCTAATGTTGGCATTGCCTGCCAAAATGCTTAGAATGAATGTTCCAGTTCCAGCAGATTTCCATAATGGGTTAATACAACATACACACACATGCAAAACACATGCACACACAAAAATATGCCACCATGCATTTGAATTCCAATTATTTCAGTGTTCTGCATCTCAGATTGTACAAATGTCTGCAAATGTTGTTTTTAGAGTAGTCAATGAAAACTGTAACTGCAATAAGACGGGTAAGGTTTGGTACAATTGACTGGGAGCAGATCAGGATTTATTTCTTACCTCATCATCAGAACTGGCTGGCAACCATTACTGGAGGGCCGAAATGGACAACATTGCCCTCTGTTGATCTCCACTTGCTCCAAAAACAACCTTCCACCAACAGGAGGAAATAATAGCCCTCAGTCCAGACTGAATACCTTGCAAACTATTGCCAAAATGCCTCAGTCCAGATAGGATTTTCTTAAACCAGTTTAGAGTCAAGCTGGTATGAGCACAGGAGAGGAGCAGCTTAAACAGTAAGTCTGGATATGCCCTGGATTTGCTCCATGTAGAATGAGTTTAGCTTAGATGAGGAGTCACATGTCTATTCAGGTATGCATTTTAGTCCTGAGATAAACGATTGAATGTCATGAAGGCCAGGGTTCAGTTACAGGGTACTTTGGCTAGAACTATTGATCTGTAGTCAGAGATTAACCTTCAAGAAATAGGAGACTAATTCAGTTAGATAATGAAGACATAATCCACTTTTCTGAGTCTTCATTAAAAGAAGATAGAGATCATGTTTGCACTGTGGCATAAGGGCCTCCTAGAGAATAAATAGTAGCCACTGTTTCTTGGCTAATTTCCAGTATAGGTAATTATCAAGTGCAATGCCCTAGTTACACTTCCCTGTAGTTTCAATTAATCAAATTGCTGTCATACTCTGTGGGGTACTTGCACTGTTCTTGTTAAATAGCTACAGCTTCTCCCCACCTAGGAAACTCTGCCTTTTCTTGGTGTGGCTGAATATGCACACTTTGTCAGCCCTTTGAGGTAGGCCAGATCAGGAAACAGGCACTATGCAGACTATTGAACTCTACTTTATTGTTGTAGGTACCACAAGAGAATCTTAAAAGCCTCCTGGAGCTTCCCTTTGCCCCCTCTTATACTGTACAGAATCAGGGTTATTTGGAGTCTCGTGTTTACACTCCCACCTTTCCCAGAGCTGAGTTGTGGTCTGGTGTCTCTTTCATCTGCTAAAGGTTGTTGCATTCCTTTGCTAATGTTATCTCTGCCTTCTACACACTTATATTTAAGTGGTTTCCAAATAGTGTAAATCAACATAACTTCCACCAACTTAATAGACCAATATCTCAGCCAGTGATCTACATCAGAGACCCTGGAAATGAATTATTTCTTACATGAATGTTGCTATAAATGGCAGTTAATGATATGAAATATTATTGTTATTCAGGTCAGGTTTCCAAACAGTGAGCTGTCTCAGGCTGATTTTTTTTATACAACCGCAGCACACAATTTCCTTTCATTGTGACACGTGCCCATCACAGGAAACTCATAACAGGCATGTGGGCATTTTTGTCAGTTTAAAAGAAAAAATAGACAAGTTCTACTTTAAAAAAAAAAACCTTGTTGAGACAAGAATCTCTTTAGCTTCTTTCTGTGAGTTGAATGGGTCCAATAATTTCATATCGTCCCATTCATGTATGTATATGCCACACACGCACACACACGTATCGTCTGCCTGATACTGGCAGAATTAGCACATCTTTTAGGCAGGGTGATGTTGATGCCTGGGTTGTGGTATCACACAATTTCCATTAAGACCCCTTCCTTACCCTCAGGTACAGCAGAAGATTTTATGCCTTTAGGAGTTTTGAAGATTCACATGAGAGTCTGTTTAAATTCTAGAGAGACATGAATGAAGCACCTTGTCTTTTGCCTCAGCTCTCGGTCTCTTGATGACAATCTAGGATTCATACAATATGCCTGACACGGTGACAGACAATAAGGAAAGACGACATATTCACCAGGGGCCATTATACAGAAGGCTACCCTTCTGTTGACGTTTCTCTGGGTGGCTGCTTTACTACTTCTCTTTCAGGAAATAAATAGGATCGAAACACAAGTCACACTATGGTCTCAGAGGTCAGATTTTATGATATATATTTTTTCCCCCACTGCTTCATGCAAGGAGGAAAGGTGCAGCCACAGGAGAGAGAGAGAGGAAGAGAGAGCTCCCCAAGGGGCTATCTGAAGCACAAAGAACTCAGAAAACTGCTAAGTACGAACAGCATAATGGGGTATAGAAATGTCTGATATTTTACCAAATGAATCTCTATTTCCACTTTGGATGTTTAGCAGGGATTGTGCACATGACCACATTGGGACACATCCTTTCTTTTCCAGCACCTGAAAATGTAATGCTTTGGTTATTGCTAGGCCGAAATATTCAGCTCTTTTTCCAGGACTGCTCTTGTTGTGAGAGACATCCTCTGAAGACTGTGTATGTTTGGGAGTGGGCACATTTTAAGCACAAAGTCTTCAAGGATTTGATTTTCTTTGTTTAAAGAAACAACAAAGAAGCCATTGGTGGAAGTGATGACTGCATGTTTGCTCTCTGGTCTTGTTCCTGGGACAGAATGCCCCTGGGAACGACATAATGAAGCAGCTAAGAACAGGAGAGCTGCTGCATCGACTGGCTTGTTTATTCAACGGGAAAAAGGACTCTTGCTTGGCCCCCTTGCATTGCAGAAGGTGGGAGACCACTTCGATGTATGAACCTGTGAAACTTGGTGATGTTGATGAGACCTGAAATTGAAATTCTTCTTTAACCCAAATATCCAGACACAACTAGAAATGAATTTGTCAAGCAACACGGGCAACGATTCTGCCAATATTCTCTGAAATATCCGTATACAGGTAGACCCTGGGTTAAGAACGCCCAGGTTACACCCAACCCATAGTTAAGAACAGAGCCTATTGTAGCAAAATTTGAGTTAAATGCACAATGATTTGAGTTAAATGCACAATGACTTGAGTTAAATATACAATGGTTCAAGTTCATTACACAATACTACTTATACAGTATTATACAATAATATTGTTCCAGCTTACATGCAAATTTGATTTAAGAACAAATCTTGGGAAAGAACTTGTTCTTAAACTGGGGACTACCTGTATTTTTTCCA